TGGTCGAACACTGTGTCTGTGACAGTGGTATGGAATGACATCATGATGGGATGTCTGCTAAGGACGCGGAAGGATTGCGCGGGTGTAGAGCCAAGAGTCTCAGGATGGATGCAGGGATGGGGTCTGGGACTCCCAACTTGATTCTAATCAAAGGTTGTGTGCGTAGTGGTGGTTTCTCCTGGGGATGTTAGAGATGTCATCAAATGTGACGGGTTTTCCTAACCCGAGAGTGCGAAGGTTGGTGCGGCATGGGTGTGTGATTGCAAGAAGAGGACTCATGGGAGTTGCTCTGGGATTTAAGAGTGGGTCTTTCCGTCGTCACGGATTGGATAGAGAGGGATTCGAATCGGGGATCCGATGGTTCATGTCTTCTAACCCTTATGGTTCGAGTGATTGTTGAGATTTGGGGCAGTGATACTTCATGGGTAATTCTCGGATCGTTGTGTGTGGTCATCAGAGGGTACATCCGGTGCTCGGTTCGAGACAGTGGTCAGGACACCGTAAGGAAAGGGAAAGTGTGTTCGAGTTTCGATGGGTATGCCTTGTGAGATCTGGTCCGATTAAGGCCAGGTGGCACGTTGTGGGAGTATTTCTGGATTTGAGTTGCTGTAGCCCTTCGAGGGCGAAGCCTAATTTAAGTGGGGGAGAATTGTAACATCCCGAAATATCAAGAGTAGAGTTGAAGGGCTAAAAGAGTAAATTGGGAAAGAGTGACTCGGCGAGTCCATGTGTGGACTCGGCGAGTAGAGTCGCGACTTGGTCGCGTGTTAAGTGGCCGACTCGGCGAGTCAGTGTAATGGACTCGGCGAGTAGGCGCTGAGTGGAGAAAACCCTAATTCTCGGGGTTGAGCCTTATATAATGATCATTATGTCTTATCCCAGCCTCTTTATCACCCCTTGAGCCCCAGAAAACCGTAAATCACGGAGAAGCACCATTGTTGAGTGGATTGGAGCTTGGAGAAGTAATGGTTGAAGGAATTTTGGGAAGATTGAAGGCTTGGAGCAAGGGGCTTTGCTTGGATTCGAATTGCATTGCAGTTGGGGCATCACTTAGAGGTAATATCTCGTTATTGACCTGTTGTTATGTTGTTTCTTCATTTTGGGGTTTGTAAGAAATTGTCTATGGATGAAATGGGAAATCTAGAGGTTAGATCTGAGGTTGCTACCTCAGATCTGGAAAGGAGACGAATCAGAGAGCATGAAAGTCCCTGTGTTGGAGTGTTTAGTGAAGCTTACATGTCCCAAACCCTAGCCCAATGTACAAATGGCTTAGATCTCTTTGGATTCACATAAAGTTTGCCACTTTACGTGATGGATGAGTGGTAGGAGACTGGATCTATGTTTTGGAGCAGTTGTATGGTCTGGAATGCTTCGGAATGTATTCAGACCGGTGGTACTCGGCGAGTCACATGGGTGGACTCGACGAGTTGGATGAAGATGGCCTGGAACTCGGCGAGTTGTATGAACAACTCGGCGAGTAAGTTGAAGATAGTCGTAGACTCGGGGAGTCTGTTCTTGGACTCGACGAGTCTTGTCGAAGAGTCCCAAATATTCTCTGGTTGAGTCGAGAATCGGTGAGTCGTGTGCGAGTGGACTTAGAGTTGTTGGACTCGGCGAGTCTCGGGGTGACTCGGCGAGTTAGGTCGCAGCTTGAGTGAAGTTCTGATTATGGGAACTCGACGAGTCACAGGGTTGACTCGGCAAGTAGGGTCAGTCAGGGGTTGACTTAGACTGAGGACTTTGGTTTCGACCAAGGGTTGGCCGTTGACTTTTAGGGTTTGGTCAGCGATGTGGCCTTTGGGCCAAGAGAGAGGTAAAATAGTCTTTTACCCATAAGAGGGTGTTATGAGAGGATTTATTCTAGCCTCGAGAGTTATATTCATGAGAGTATTTGCCTTACGTGTTAGGCGGTGGCGAGTTCGAGATTCAAGTGTGGGGATATCTGCTTTCTGCTTGCCAGGTGAGTCTTCTCACTATACTTTACCTTGAGTAGGTAACCAGAGTTATGTGATCAGAGTGTTTGTATGCTATTTGTATGTGATGTGTTGTACTGCATTATTTCTATGTGATTTATGTTGTGCATGTTTATAGAGTTGGAACCGGAAGGTTCCCAGAGTTAGAACCTGAGGGTTCACAGAGTTTGGGTGCACGGACCCATAGAGTTATAGCCTCGAGTGGCTAATATGTGTTATGTGTGGTATTTTGGGGAACTCACTAAGCTTCGTGCTTACAGTGTTTTGTGTGATGTTTTTTTTTCAGGTTTCTTTCAGTATCACGGGACGGCACCGACTTGATTGTACACACCAGAGAAAGAGTCATATTTTTGGAGGATCCTGGTTTTCTATGCAAGTGAAAATGGAGTCATGTTTTGTAAATCGACTATGAATGAGATTTTAAACAAGTGTTTCTAAGAATAAAATGATTGTTTTAAATGAAAATTTTGTCTTGAAATTTACGGTGTTACACAACACCCATATTGTACCCTACCCTACACCCACATGCATACTGACACGCCCGCGTAAACAACATTCGACACCCACCCCCAGCCCTATCCACACACACTCGCATTCACACATGCCAACAAGCCCACATAGGTTTAAGCGGGTAAGAGATTATTAATTGAAAAAGTATCATTTTTTAAAATAGTTATAAGTTAGAAATAATTGATAAATGAGTATTTTAGTTATATTACATACTTTTCTTTCTGTTTCCTTTGACAAATCTGAAAACCAAAGAACATAGTTCATTAAATGTCAATCAAACACTTAATAGATTCTAATTCTTTCAGTTTTCAATTCCTTTAACATATTTCATTCCTTCTAAAACATTTTGTAATATAAAAGCCTTCCTAAAGCTCCTATTCATATTTACACATTTATGTTGTCATTACCAGTCTATTAGAGGTGAGATGGTGCGATTTTAGGCCAAAACCAGTCCACAAACTACAAGCATTCGTTTTCTAATTTTAAAACCGGAAAGTACTATTTTTCAAAGGGTGCGGTTTTGTGGTTTTTCCAGCAATTCGGTTTTAGTTTTTATACTACACAATGAAATTATGCGATTTTGGTTTTAAACCTCCTAATAAATGTGCAATTTTCTACCGTGGTGTGGTTTTAAAACCAAGAGAAACCAAAAAGCAATTTTTTTAAGTAAAATTTTTGCATTTACCATTTATCCAACATGCTTTAAGCCTAGAAACATGAAACAATTTTTGATATTTTTTTATCCACAATGAAATGAAATTATAGTCTTTGTTTACAAAACACAATCAAGCCGAGACACTTGAGCTATTATGAGTTATAATGTTGTATTTGATATTCTGATTTATCAAAATAATAATAATAATAACAATAAGAGTAAATTACACAAATGGTCCCTGTGCTTTGGGGTAATTGACACGCTTGGTCCCTAAATTATTTTTTTAACTCGTAAGGTCCTACTGTTTGTTTTTGTTACGCGCTTGGTCCCTACTTTTTGTTTTTGTTACACGTTTGGTCCCTATCTTACATAAAAATACTATTATTTAAATAAGAAAAAATGGTAGGGTGTGTAAGGTAAGGTGAAGGGTGAGGTTGGGGTGTGTTTAATTAAGTAAATTAAAAAAAAATCAAGGGGAAAATAGTCTTTTTAGGTAAGATAGGGACCAAACGCGTAACAAAACAAACATTAGGGACCTTCCGAGTTAAAAAAAATAAGTTAGGGACCAAACGCACAAATTACCCTAAACCATAGGGACCATTCGTGTAATTTACTCTAATAATAATAATAATAATAATAATAATAATAATAATAATAATAATAATAATAATAATAATAATAACAACATAGTACTAAATATCTATAATAAACATAAAAAATCTTAAACATCCATAATAACATAAACTTTTTATAATGTATATAATTTTGGTGGTGAGGGTCGGTTATTTTTGTCAAACTAAATAAAATATGGTCGGTTATTCTATCGGTTTCGATTTGTTATAGTTCTTTTTAATGTTTGTTTAAATCGATTCGATATTTTCTTAGACGGCTTGGTGTGTGCAACGCCCTTACGCGTTATCATGACGTGCCTAAGAAAATGCCGGTATAACGGATGGAACACCGTCCCCCCTTGGGCGTTTTTAGGTGTTATGCCATTGCGCGTTTTCCTGGCAACGGAAGGCAACGAGTGAGTTATTGGCTTGCAATGTCGAATGGTCAAAAAAGAGACCGTTGTGAAATAGTCAGAAAGTTAAAAAAAAAAAAAAAAAAAAAATCCATTTTAACATATATATAAATACACATATTCACTTTATTTTTTACCTACACAAAACCTCTATTTCACTTCATCTTATTACACACAACTCAACCAATTTTTCATTCAACCAAATGTGGATCAAAACTCGAACACTCCTCATCCACACACAAAAACATCCATTATGCTCGATTTCGCGTAATACGAGGGCTACATGAACCTACTCAACTCGCAAAGCTCACAACAACTACTATTTTTCGGCAACTTTTCCAATCTTGCATCGCCATATATGCAACAAAATCCAAACCTTCAACAAAACCTTTTCAACACATTCGCTTCAATTCTCCAAACACCCACCCACACAAACAACCACACAAGAAACGCAAAATAAGGTTGTTGAGACACAAACGGGATGCAGTCGGAAACTTAGAGGGAAAGGGAAAAAGAAAGGGAAAACGGTCGCAATCGTGGAAAACGACGAAGATCCTCCAATATGGTGGATACCGGAGGAAGAGCACGCATTGGTGGTGACGTGGTGTTGGACACCAAAACACCCAAATATAAAAAACGATATGAGGAGATATGTATTTTAACAAGCCACCATCATACAATTCCGTAGTATTTTGAACATAAGGGGAGGATATTGAAGTTAGGATATGCTTACTAACAAGTGGATTATTAAGCACTTAATAAGAACACGGGTTCATGTTTAGATTATTATTTATAACAACATGGGTCATTTGTGGCCCACTTAAGAGATGCTCTATCTAAAAAACTTAGTTCTTATAAAAAAAAATTGAAATAGTTTTTTTTTTTTTGAAATTTATTCATATTAAAGACACAGAACTTAAAAGATATTAAAATAATAGAAAATACAATAAATGATACATATCTATTCACTTTATCTATGAATCACAATATAAATTAATATTTGGTGTTTTTTAATTTTTTTTATATAATTTCCTCCATTGTCGTACAATAGTCCACTGTCGAAAATTTATTTTTTTGCTCCATCTGGAAAAACTCCTTGGTAGGGTTTTCTGTTGGCGTAAGCACTTTATAGGTATCGATCTTCTACGATATCTATGACAAACTATATATCGATCCTTCTAAAGTACCCCTCGTCTTTCCGAAGCTCGGATAGGTTTCGGAACACTATTCTTCTTATTCACATGACCACATTCACCACGCTTGCCTTTTTTTCTATCACCAATATCAAAACACTTCGATATATGCTCAAGTTCCAAAATCCCCTCTTCAATATCCGAAAGCTCTTCATTATTTTCATTATGATTTTGTCTATACCTTCTAATCTTCTCGAGGCTTGCACCAACTTTAATCGCCATTTCCTCGATCTTTGATTGCATTAAAAGATTCTCCTCGCGGACTTCCGTAAGGTTCTTTTTCATATTTCTATACCCATTAAGCGATCTCATAAGTTGATCTTTAAGGGCCTTGTTATGCTCATAAACCGAGGATGATTCTTGAGATTCTTTCACTCCAGGCTCATGGACCTCCGCACAATCTTTAACCCTTTCCAACAACGAATCGTTTTGAGCTTTTAGATCTTGGATATGATCCTCCATTTCGGCTAATTCATGGGCTTTTCGGGCTAACTCCCCCATCATGATTTCTTTTTCTTTTCCCAAACTTGAACACATGGCCTCCAGACTTTTACGAGCTGCTGAGCTGGCACTCAACTGTCTCTTAAGTTTCTCTTTGTCATCAACCACATGTGATTCGGTTGATCGTTTCTCGTTTTCGACAATACTAGTTCGCATATCGCTATTGCAACGTCTTAACTCGGATCGATCAGCCCCGAAGGATTGACATTTTTGAATACGGGTTCGGACCATGTCAAGAATGGTCATCATCCCAGCCACCCTCAGCATCCTCCGACCATCACGTTTATGGGTTTGGCAAGCTTCCTTATGATCTTGAACCAATTTTAGTAACAACTTAACATTTGCAGCGACACCTGTGATCAATAAACGTCAAGAAGATGAAAACTATAGGTTTAATTTTAGTTTTTTGTTTATACCGGAAAACGAACCAAAGAAAGTTTGGTTTCTAGTTAATGGGATCAATTTTCAGTTGTATCGGGTTTTAGATCTTTTTGACTTTTCGATTCTTGTGTTGTAGTTTTTCGTTTGCATATAACAATACCAATAATTTCTAATATATGAACTTATTATATAAAGTCAGAATTCATAAAATTGTAACGTTCTTTATTGAATGTCACAATATAAGTGAACGGAATTAAAAAGTTCAATCTCCAGACGAAAAGTCGAAAACCCTGGTATTTTTGGTAGATTTTTTTTTTTTTTTTTTTTTTTTTAATTACAGTTTTTTTAGTTGTATAAAGATATATAAAAAACAATCTGTTACATATACTTGCTGGGGCCAAACTCCATGAAAGCAAGAAGCTGGTTCTTGTTGAATTTTAGGATATATAGCGACAAAAAACATTTTAGAAATTATATGAAAGAGACATTTAATAATGAAAAAGATTATATATCTTTTAAAACAACGTCATATTTTTGATACGGGGAAACAACTTCGTATTTTGATTTTTGATAGGGTGAAGTGCGCTTTTTATTTTCAGGTATAGAAACAAAAGGCCAAACCAATATTCATACAATTTCCAACAGAAAAACAAAGTGTAAGTTTGATTGGATGCCATTATTTGATTTGATTTCACTTTTCCTGTACACCCTATATCAAAATCACTCATTCAAGAAATCTAGAAAACCGAAAGAGATCAAAACTTTACCTTCTAAAGCCGAATCATCGTATTGTTCATCGACTCCTGATGACAAAGGAATTGAATCCAGCGATGTTTCTCGATCCATATTAATTATAAAGAACTTGAAACAAGGAAAAAAAGTAATGAAACTTACAGAAGGAAATCAATAACTGACCATGAAAAGAAAGAATATGGTGATCGGAGAAGAAGAAGAGAGAGAGAGAGAGAGAGAGAGAGAGGTGGGGAGGGGATGCTTCGTGGAAGTTCCCTCTCTTTCTCCTTGTCGATCCTACAAAAGTCTTATGGGTGAAATGTTGTCACATGTGAATAATATTTTTATGAGTTTTGTGGTGAATAGTCTGATTGGATTTGATGGTGGTTGTTCTTGCGCAATTATTGGGGGGTTGTTCAACTTTTTAGATTGACATTTGTTGGGGTGGTTTTGACTTCCAAAGACGAAACATGTGCCAACTTTTAGTCACAAAGAAAAGAATTATTACTTGACGTATCTGAAAACCTTTTAATTGAGATATTGTATTGTGAAATATACGTACTATGCTATATATATAATACATAACGAAGTTTTTCAGTGCTCTTGTTTTTCTATAATTGTGGAGGGATTTATGATGAAAGTATGATGCTAATTAGGTTTAGCAATGAAGTGTTGTCACTAATCCGATCTTTGGTTTAAAGTTATTGGCAAAACACAGGATTTTTTTATTTATTTATTTATTTATTTTTTTTAAATCACATCAGTACTACGACTATCAAACATAAATGTGGCAAGTTTCGATATGGACGCTACATACTCAAGCGTAGAGTTGACATAATAATATAGAGAAAAGGAAAATGACTAAATTATAACTCTAATCGTTAAAACGAGTTGTTAAGTTATAAACCTACTATTCTCTTTAATAAAGCCCTATGATAAATGGAGGGTCGAGATAAGATTATTACACAATCCTCTTAACCTTACAAAGCTAATAAATGTTGTATAAGATAAGAGAGTGGGTGGGTGGCCCCAGCCCATATAAATGTGCACATTTATTTATGCATTCACAATATATTAGGGTGATGGGTATTGGCAATGGGGTGGTGAGTCCACCTAAGCACCAAAAGTTTTCTTAGACCATAAGGTGTAGGCAACTAGATGCAACACCATTTTGGTACCACATCACATGCCAACACCAAGTGAGGAAATGGACAACATGTTATATCTTATTATGACACCAACTTTTTTTTTCATTTTATAAATTATTTTATTTATTTCGATTTTTTTTTTTAAATTGAGACAAATATTTTTTAAATTAAAAATAAATAAAACATAATGTTTAAAAAGTATAAAAAACAATTAAAAATTTCTAAAAATTAAAATTAACATAAAGACTAAATTACACATAATATCCAAAAACAAAATAAAAAAAAAATAACATCCAAATTCAAAAAAAAAAAAAAAAAAAAAAAAACAACGCTATTCGTTATCGTTATTGTTACCATAGAAGATATGATCCGCCAAGTCCTCTCGTAGTTGTTTGTGTTTATTTGCGTCCTGAATGTCAACAACGCGATGCAAATAATCTGCTGTTCCTGGCTGAAACTGAACGTGTCTGGGCTCCGTTGGGATATAGTGTGCAATATTTCGCCCTTTATCTTCTACTACCATGTTATGCATTATGATACACGCATACATGATATATCGTAAAGTTTCTAAATCCAATGGTCGTGCTGCATGTTCGACTATATGCCACTTCGCCTTCAGCACCCCAAAAGCACGTTCCATATCCTTACGTGCTCCTTCTTGTCTTCTCTTAAAAAATTTGTCTCGTTCTTCAACCGGGTGGCGGAATGCCTTCACGAATGTGGAATACTGAGGATATATTCCATCTGTAAGGTAATACCCATATTTGTATTCGTTTCCATTCACCGTGAAAGGAGCATCCGGGGCTTTTCCGTTCAAAAGATCGTCGAATATTGGCGACTGATCAAGAACGTTGACGTCGTTGTTGGAACCCGCAACCCCAAAAAATACATGCCAAATCCATAAATCTTGAGAAGCGACAGCCTCTAACACCAATGAAGGTGATCCGTGATGACCACTTGCGTATTGCCCTTTCCATGCTACCGGACAATTTTTCCATTTCCAGTGTGTGCAATCAATGCTTCCGATCATTCCGGGAAACCCATGACATTCTTCATGCGCCGCATACAATTCTTGCAAATCATGCAACGAAGGTTTCCGCAAATACACGTCTCCAAAAGTTTCAACAACACCCCTTGACAATGTATACAAACTCTCTCTTGCGGTTCTTTCGGACATTCTCATATAGTCGTCCATGGTGTCGGGTGACTCCCCCATAGCCATCAAACGAATGGCCGCAACACATTTCTGCAACGATGTAAACCCCCGTCTACCTCTAGCATCATATCTTAATTGAAAAAATTCGTACCTAAACATAAATTAACTATAGTTTACAAATATATTGCATATGTTGTAAAATTAAAGAAACATGTAGTACATTTTTATTTATTTGGTATAAAAATATAGTAAAGAAATGATACCGGCTTTCCAAGGCGTTGACGATTCGTAAGAACACATCCCTACTCAAACGAAATCTTCTTTTGAAGTCCTTCGCCCCGTATACACAATTATCCGCAAAGTAATCGCGATATAGATGTTCGTGTCCTTCCTCGCGATTTATGTTTAACATCGCACGTCTTGTTAGTAGCGGGGCTGAGTCTGGTTGTAGCAGGTCGGTAGTATAATAATGATACATCATCCTAAAGAAAATATCTTCATCTGAATCATCGGACGAATCAAAAGGATCCATATTTTTTTTGAAGATAATTGAAAGTATGTAGAGAGGATAAGAAAAAGTGTGTGAAAATTTTAAATAAAATGAGAGTATTTATAGGATAAAATGTGTTTTTTTTTTAATAATTAACTTTTTTTTTTAAACCGTTGCAAATCAAACGGTAATTTTTTTTAATTTAAAACGGTCATTTTCACTCGTTTCTTCCCGTCACCATCGCAACGAGTTTCACCACGACGAGAAGCAACGAGCAGGGGGGGCGGTGTTCCCCGTGTTATAACGGCGTTGAGGGGTGCCACCTCACCCCCCGTCGCTTCTCGTTGGACCCATACCCAATCGTCTTAATCTCTATTTTTTTTTTGTTGGGGGTGATGTTCAATTTCCTCAACGCCGTTGAAGTGAAGAAATGCAGAAAAAGAGAAAGCCTAATTGCTGGAACGGTTCTTTTTTTCCCGTTGCAAATCGTTTCCGTGGCCACGAGATGCAACGAGCTAGGGGGGGGGGGGTGTTCCCCTCGTTAAGACGGCATTGAGCCGTGCCACCTCACCCTCGTTTCTTCTCGTTGAGGTCCATACCGGGTGCTCTTAAACTTGTTAGATTTTAATGGATTGACACATCATCATTTTACTTGCTATTCAACTTTAAAGTTTTTATTAATTTTCCTACAATGTATTGAATTCAATAGAGTTCAATTATATATATATATATATATATATATATATATATATATATATATATATATATATATATAATAATAATAATAATAATAATAATAATTAAAAGGTTTAATTTTTTTCTCATCGAAGAGTTCAATGACCATTGAACTCCATATCCATTGAATATCAACATAACATCCCACAATGATAGAGTTTAATCTATTGAATATCAATTAGGTATGTCATCTCATTTAACTATTCTATCTATGCATTGTGAATACTCTTGTGAACATATACAAATGCTGAAAAGGAAAGTCCAAAAGATACGTTGAGGAGATCAACCATAATAGTTGAGCATCTATATGTAACACCGCTATATAACACCTACCACTAACAACATGTATTACATGTACATATCCTCAACTGGTACAGTGGGAATTTAATGATATACCTTTTTTTATTATATACTTCTTTTTTATGTTAGATGATATCTTTTCGCAAAAATAATAAGATCATTTGGCAAAAAAAAGTTGAAAATTTTTTATAAATTGATTTGTAGTTGAAATCATTCATAAAAAAATCATTCTATATTCATTTAAAGATTAAGTGTTATTTATATTAAAACAAACAAAATAAGGGTACATAACATCACTTTTTTGGTCATACATGTAACTAACCCAAAAAAAATATTGAGTAATCACATTATCTTTTTATCATATTTATGATTAACCAAAAGACATACAGTTAATCATCTTATATTTTTTAGTCATATATGTATAATTAATCCAAAAAATATTAAGGCAATCCCTAAACTTATCAAAATATGCTAACTATATCATACCAAATCTTTTCTTTTTCATTTTAATAACTATTTTTTTTTGGAAACGACAAACAAATTAAATGGAAGTCGACTCGTAATATTTTAGCAAGTACCCCGAGTTCGAGCTTTCTTTATAGGCAAACTCAACAATCTTAGAGATTTCAAGGGAAAAATTCCCCAAATTTGGCACCACAAGATGTACTTTAAGGGGATCGAACTCCCAATCTCACGTCCTACATGTGTATAAAACTGAGTGCATCAACTTTAGCTACTCTGGACATCACTTGCTTTAATAACTAAATGATCACCTCATATCTTCCTACCTATTTTAGATCTTGACACGTATCATTTAGTTTAATTTAGGAGGTGTTTGGATAGGAAAAAAAAAGAGATGCTTATTGGTTATTTCCACAATAAGCTAATTTTAAGTGTTTGGATAAAATCCAACTTATTAGGCTAAATAAGCTAATTTTAATAAGCATTCCTTTCTATGCTTATTGCTTATTGCTTATTCCCACCACAAATAAGCTATAAGCAATAAGCTAAAAATCTAATCCAAACACCCCCTTAAATTTGATTGAGATGTTAATTTGTACAATTGTCATCATCTTAAATATGTAGGAGAGAAATAGAAACAAAAAGTCGGAGGATATTGAATTTCTCTTCAAATATATATATATATATATATATATATATATATATATATATATATATATATATAATATATATATTATATATATATATATATATATATTCCACCTAGCAACCTACTATTGGTTGGATTTTTTTCCACCAATTTCGTTTTCAGGTATAAGTTCTTTTTTTTCTTTGATTTTTTTTAAAAAAAAACCAGAGTTTTTAAAATTTAAATCTCTACAAAATGATCATAATCATAAAATACTGGAAAAAACATTAATTTTAATTATATAAAAAACCCAGAAAAAATAAGTCTATCAAAGTTATAAAAACTTAAGGGATACTTCAAATTATTATACTAGTGACTTTGTAATATATATATATATATATATATATATATATATATATATATATATATATATATATATATATATATATATATATATATTAAAATAAGTTTTTGAAGTTTTCATATAATAATTTTAAGAAATGTTAGTTTTTATAAAATATAACTAATTTTTGTTATCCAAATTCAAAATAGCAAATGATAGAGGTCTTTGTAACACTATTTTATTGAGTTTGTAAAAAAATCAAATATATTATTATTAAGTATATGAATGCTTCATTAAAATGATTCTAACTTTTTATAAAAAAAAATAAGATGTAAAAGTTTTAGTTTTCCAAATTAGAAATCCTTTTAAACGAACTTTAATTTATATATCATATATTATGAAATTTTTGAAAAGAAATTTTAAGAAATAAGGTTTAAAATATCGAACTTTATAATAAAAGATTATAAGATTTTTTTAAATAACATATTGAACACAATATATTCCAAAATGAGATAATTTAAAATATCTATGATTTAAAAAAAAAGTTATGATTCTTCATTTTTATGATACTTAATTTGCTATAATCTAAAAATATTTAGATTAAAATATTTTATGATTATTAATTATATCATTTATTATTTAAAATATATAAAAATCCAAAATTAGTTTTTTGAACAAATATTTTATTTAATTGAATACATTATTGATCCAAAATCATGTGATTCAAAAATGATATGATCTAAAATACCATAACTCAAAATATTTTGATTCAAAATATTATGATTTAGAGATATGTAACACTCTAAAAATTTAAACCAATTTAAACTTTTCAAAAACAACCCAGTTTCGTTAAATCATTACAAAAAGGTTTTCAATACAATTATTATCAGAGTCATCCCAGAACCATATCGTAAGACATAAACATGAGGAGCGGTACGATCACGCCTTCGCCTTGTCACAGTCTCCTGAAGTATCTGAAAACATTAAACCACAACTGTAAGTCCGAAAGCTTAGTGAGATACCCCCAAAATACCAAACACATATACCACGCATAACATATCACAACCGAACAGAACATCCATGCACTTTGGGTCTACTGTGTAATCGGTCCGCCCTACCGGGCCTTCAGTCCACCTGGTCCACCCTCCGAGTCTAGACATATCCATCGAGTCTACAGTGTGGTTGGTCCGCCCGCACCGGGCCTTCAACCCACCTGGTCCACTCTCTGAGTCTACAGTATGACTGGTCCACCCACACCGGGCCTTCAGTCGGCCTGGTCCACTCTTCGAGCCTCGGCACGTCTGGTCCACCCTCACGGGGCCTACAGCCTATCCAGACCGCTCGTTGGGCCTTCGGGATAACCGGTCCGCCCTGGGTATGTTGGCCTATAACACAAAGCAGGACCCGCCTTAATCCAACCCCAGTCCAACAACCATGTGCACATAAACATACAATCATATAACAATTCACATCCAATCAAACCAATCTAGCAGATCACATATCATAACAGTTGGATTAGTGTCTACGTCCATAACTATTTTGGTATGTACTTGACCCGATGGTGCATGGTCCTTTTGGGTTGCCTTGACCAAAGCAACTTGATAGGATGAATTACAGAGAGAAATGATTAATTATGATTTATTAATATATTATGAGAATAATATATTAAAGGAGAAATCATATTCTTTAATTAATATTAGTTAAGAATTAATAAGAATTAAGTTTGTGGCTAAAAGATATTAATTAAACTTAAGGGACTAAAACTGTCAATTGTGTGATAGTTGAATATTGGACTAATGGACTCCATATTAGAGGGGTGGACGAATTCTATGGGGAAACCCATTAGAAATCGTCCTAGGCCTCTAAGGAGGGAGTCCATGGGTTGCTTAGGGCCTAAGCATCCAAATTATGGTTTTCTTGTTAGATAACCCTAATAACCTCACTATTTAAGGGACTCTTGAGACTCAAAAACGTGGTGAACTCATTCCTTAGGGTTTCCACACGTTTTGGGCAGCCTCCCCTCTCCTTGTTCTTCATCCTCTTGCTCTTGGTGTTTGTGAACC